CCAGGAGCCTGAGCGCGCTGCAGAGCTGTTCTGCAGGAGCGAGACCCTGCGCCGCCGACGCCGGTTACGCTGCGCGGCAGCGCAAAGCCCAGACCTGGTAACGCGCCCCAGCCCGCGCCTCGTTTGCAGCTCTACCACATTGAGTATCTTTACTCCAAGATACTAAAAGAACTGGTCCACAGACAGCCGTAGTGAAGTCCTCAATAGTGATTTTTATTAAATTAGTCGCTTTATAAAACATTGCAGATGTCATAATTGTTAACATAACAATTTGCCCAACTGTAGTAACTGTTGCAGTTTGCTAAGCAAGTTGTTGGTTTTTTTTAAATGAAAGAAAATGGCTGAGTTGTGAAAGATCTACCACAGCCCATGAGAGACCAAAAGAAGTCTTGCTTTTTTTTTTACACTTAAACCAGGCAATTAACTGTTAAAGAATACCCAACCCCTACAGCTGCATTAGTAGAAATTTAGATGAATGGAAACTAAACTTCATACCCAAGACACGAGTCATTTTTTTTTTCCCAAGCGGCCCCCGCCTCGCGGTGCCCCACCACACGTGTTCAGAGGCCGAGCGTCGAGGCAGGGGGTCTGCCTCGCGTGACGCGGGCCCCGGTGCGGTGCCCTCGCTCTGAAGTTCGCCGTTCCCCTTCGCAATGTACTTTTTGAAAACCTCAAGCAGTAACTCAAGACAAAGCAATCGTAACACTACGTGCACACCACGCCCTTGCTGCAAACCGCGCTGCTGCAGCCAGCCGCGCGCTGGAGGAGGGACAGGTAAGGCCATGGCACGGACCCGTGCTGGTAATAATACTTCACCGTGTTGAAACTCATTTCCAGTTTAGTGGCTGTTACTATAAAATCAAATAGCAACAGTTACCATAATCAGAATTTGGGGGGTTTAAACTGCAATTTACATAGCTTTACACGTGTTCACTCTCACCCCTGCCCACGGGAGGGGAAGCCCGGTGCTTCAGCACGGACCCGTCAGGAGGTCAACCACCAGCACAGAGACACTGCAATTCTGATTGTAGCATTTGGCAGAATTAAAGGAAGAAAAGTTGTGCTACATGTTTAAGGGATTATGGGCAACAGAAAGACAACAGAAGGGGAGATAAATGTCACATGAAGTCTTCAAAGTCTTGTACGTATTCTCCATCGTATCCTCCGTAATCAGCCAGGTCATCTTTCATAGTAGCCTTTAAACCACCTCCAGGCACAACACCTTTTTTCTTCTTTTTGGCTTTATTCTGCTTAAACAGGAGGAGCATGTTTACTTTAATTTGTCACAACTCTTAACTAGAGTGATGCCCCGTGTCTCTGAGGCCCAAGCACCACCATGCCCACACCGGGAGTGCTCTGTCACCACTGATTTCTACCCCTGCACCTCACCCCGCGGTGCCATCTCTCGGGCTGCGACAGCTCCGCATGTCCCACGGCTCCCCACAGCACGCACCGGCCCACGTCCTGTCCTTCACCCCATCTTACCTCGACTCTAAACACGCAGAGTAACTAAACGCAGAGTCCAGCATTCAGTTTTGTGGAATTACCCATTTAGTTAAGGAAATTCATGTGGCTTTTATCATCATAGAGGCTGAATATCTTCCTTGCAAAAAAATGGAAGCCCTAACCAAACTTCACCGCAGGTTTCACAGCACAGCTCCTCCTTACTGGGCTGGTGCAGCTGCAGCTTTCAGTGGGTGGCCAAGCCAATTCACGTGAAAAGCCAGCAGCGCAGAGTATGAAATTGCTTTCACATCCTTTTTGTTTTTAAACTTGTTTGGCTCAGTAAGTCACGGGCTTCTCTCCAAAGTGCACTTCGTATTAAGGAAATAAGTTTATCATCCCCACATCTGCGGCTCCAACCTGGCTGCACTAACACCGCACACAAAGTCTGGCTCGCAGGGAAGTGCTCTGCTCGCGCCCGGCGAGGCAGCAGGGGCTCCACCGAAGCACCCCTCCCGCCCAACAGTTTGCGCCCAAGGTTCCCCGTTCGGCAGTCGAAGCTGCCGCTCACGGGCAGCGCTCCGCCGTTTGCTTCCTGGCAGTCCTCCACCCTGACTCGGTCCCACCCAGAGAGCGGCACCGCTGCTCCTGGTCTCTGCTTCATTTGGTTGCTACCTCGTGGTTTAACTGATCATCGAACCCCAGCCCACCTGGAGTCTAAACACAGACGTACGCTATAAAACGCAACCTTCTGCATCACGCAAGCATCAGCTAAGCTACGACATCCCTGTTTGAAACTTACTCTTCCTTGCCTGGGCCGTTACCGCTCCTTTAGCTTGCGCGACAGCACCCAAATCCCAGTCACCTGCTGCTCAGAGTCCCAAAGGTCTGGCAGAGGTTTGAGTGACTTCCCCAGATGGGTACGACACCGACGTTTAACCCCACATGAGGCTGGCGTCTCCCTTCAGGGTGTCGGTGTCAGGCGTTTTAACTCCCAGAGAGCAGCGAATGGAGCAAGGTTAGCGTGGAGGGAACGTTCACGGGAATTAATCACGGTTTTGCCTGTGATCTCTAGACTCAGTCAGCTCCCGACGACCTCACCCAGCGAGGAGGATTTGACACCGAACCAGTACCCCGGGTTATCATTTCCTCTCCTGCTACCACCCCTCACGCAGTCAGCAGCCGCTCAAGGCAGCGCGGGAGCCGAGACCGACTCCCATCTTCCAGACCAGCACCTTCGGCAGGCAGCGTCCCGCTGCAGAAACACGCACAAGTCTTACCTTTTCTTGTTTCTGTTTTTCACTGCATAGTACTGTCAAAGCATTTGTGATCTTTTTCAAATCATCAACTTCCACTGCATCAGGGGGAAAAACAACAACAACAGAAGATTCCTGTCAGTACTGTGCTTAGAAGGCAGTCAAACAATCCAACATCAACACTCTAAAAGCCAGCGAGAAGCATCAGTGCTAAGTACGGGCAATTACTTGATTTAAATGCGCAAAATACAGACTGGGTAATCCTGGTCCTCCTAACCCCGAGGACCATTTCAGCTGATCCCCAGTAAGCAGCCTGAGCGCTGCAGAAGGTGCAGCTTGCAAACTATGAGTTAGTCAATGCAGAAGTCTTAATGACGAGGCATCTGAACAGTAAAGTATGGATACAGTAAAACACAGCAGAACACGGCAAAAGGGGCAGCGGATTAACAATGAATTATTGTGATGAACGATAAATGGTCCGAGAGGTTGCGAGTGCTTCCCTCCAGCAGCTCTGGGATCCACCCGCGACGCAAGCTGCCAGCCCCAGCCCGCGACCGCCGCATCTGTGCGGCACTGACCAGCGTGGCGTTACCCGCTGAGGGGAGGAAAGGGATCGCACGCACTGAACTCCCCCAGCACCTCAGCCACCAGAGCCAGGCCAGACAGGAGTTTAAGTTCTCTGCGTGGTTACACGCTGAATTCGCAACAATTTAATTTGCAGTCCCGGAATTACAGGAACTCCATTTTATAATAGTTTCCTTCCAAGCGAGCTACTTATCTGGCTCAGAGAATTTTTTTATTATTGTTTTAGAAATGGCTTCAAGAAAAACATGCTCGATTTAGATCAGCATAAAAATTCACACTTTTTAAAACGACTTTAACTGGCGTGCAGAAAGAGCAACTCTCGTACGAGCACACAACCTCATCACCCTTGGGGGAACGGAACCGGGTGCCAGTCAGTGAAACAGATCAGTACTTCCCTTAGTATAAACTCCACAGCTCAGTCCTGATTTAACACATACTGCAACCGCGTGTTTTCAACTTCAACTCCACTGCCGTTGTGGCAGCAGTGTATTCTGGGATGTTAGTCCTTTAACTTACATGAAATACATACGTCTCGAACTAATGCTTCCAAAAAACTGGCGTAATGTAAGGATTTTTCATACTGTGTAATTTTCTCTTTTAGTAGCTTGCCAAATTCCGTAAAGTCATCTTTTGAAGAGGGATTCATGGCATCTATTCCACAAGTGTTATTTACACCTGGACGGAAAGACAGAGGCGTTACGGAACACAGCAGGCGGGATCCCTGCGCGACGGCACCAGAGGAATCGCGTCACCTCGTCCCCCTCAGCTCCTCGCCTCCCCTGAAGCTCCACCAAACCGCAGCCGAGGTTTGCACACTTGCTCCTGCCACACAAACGCCAACAGCCCCAGCCACTGGCCCGTTCGGAAAGAGCTCGTGCTGCAAAGCTCAGCGACTCGAACCCGCCGCTCCCGTTCGCTGGAGCAACGTGCCCTCCATGAAGCCCCTTCCCTCTTAAATCAGGAATTCTGGGCTCGAGCTGCTAAATGCAAAATTTACTGGGTTCTTTGCAATGTACTCAGCGCATCCCCCCGAGGCACTGTACTCCTTCAGCAGACTCGCAGAGCAGAATTCGCACTGAGTAATAAGCTGCATCGTTCACTATAATCAAGGACACACACTTTCGTGTTTGGGGCATGCTGCTGTGAATCAGTACCTCTGCTAGTTCTGTCAAAGCACAAAACCAGGGTGAGCTGCTCCAACGCGACTCCGCCTGCGCCAGGAAACAGCTCATTCCACAGACTTCAGCGGCTTTCTCAACACCCAACTCATTGCACAGACTGCCCGAAGTGAAGCGTGCCCAAGTTACGCTGTGCCACGCTCGTCCAGAGCCTCACTAAACCCAAGCTGTAAAGCACCTCAGAACATTAAGACACAGCACTTTTTTCTCCCCCCCTTCTTTTTTCACACTCATCCGTCTGAATATGAGGAAGAATTTCTTCCCTCTGAGGGTGACGGAGCCCTGGCCCAGGCTGCCCAGGGAGGCTGTGGAGTCTCCTTCTCTGGAGATATTCCAGACCCACCTGGACAGGGTCCTCTGCAGCCTGCTGTAGGTGACCCTGCTTCAGCAGGGGGTTGGGCTGGGTGACCCACAGAGGGCCCTTCCAGCCCCCACCATTCTGTGATTCTGTGATCTTATTCCCCTAAGCACCAACCTGTTGGAAAATTCAGTCAGCCATCTTTCCCCTACAGCCTCCTACCACGACAGGTTAAGAAAAAGCACCTCTGTTCTGAAGACGCTCTCGTGGTGCTTGCAGCTAGCCCTGGGCACCGGGACATGGCTCCAGCAGTCCGTGCTTGAACCCCTCTTCATTCTCCCCCAGGTACTCCAACAGCCCAGCCTCACTCAGCCCTTTCTGCAGGGCATCCACACGCAGCGCAGTTCAGTCCCGAGCACGCGGCGCTGCTGTGGTCCCGCTGCTGCGGCGGCTCAGGCACAGTGCACTTACCAAAGGTTTCTTTTGCTAACTCCAGGTCTGACTCCTCTTGTAATTTCTTTAGTCGTAGTTTGTCTGCTAGCTGTTCTTCTGGTGTAAGCTCTTTATGCTCCTCCGGCGCCTCTAACTGAATTCAAACACGCATACAGGGAGAACGTTACATTTCTCATGCTCGAGCACAGGCAGCACAAGAACTCATATTTCTCCCAGTGCCACTGGAATGGCTCGCTGCTGCCCAGGACAAGGGGCAACGGGCACAAACTGGAGCAGAGGAAGCTCCAGCTGAACCCGAGGAAGAACTTCTTCCCTCTGAGGGTGACGGAGGCCTGGCCCAGGCTGCCCCGGGGGGCCGGAGGCTGTGGAGTCTCCTTCTCTGGAGATATTCCAGCCCCGCCTGGACACGGTGCTGTGCAGCCTGCTGTGGGTGACCCTGCTTGGGCAGGGGGTTGGGCTGGGTGACCCACAGAGGGCCCTGCCAGCCCCCACCATGCTGTGGGTCTGTGATTCTGTGAGCTCTGCACACCCCAAGCACGCACAGAGCTGGCAGCCACCCCACTGGCGTGCAGCACCGCCACGCTGCTCAGCGACTCGGCCGTCTGACACGAGTGGGACGAACACCTTGGTTCTCGGTGTCACAGCTGCAGGTTTTATCGTGAGCTGCGTACAGAAGGAACAGCGATAAGCACTGTTCCAATAACCTGGTTAAATTTCAGAGAAATGAAAGCTAAAACCCCCCAGATGTTACTAAGGTCAAGACTTAAGTTTGTTTTATTGGAATAATCAAGATATTTACAGGTCTTGTTCAACCATGGAAAAAAAAAAATAATCAAACCTGCCCTCTGACTTTTATGAGACCCAGAAGAAAGAAGGAATTACCCTTTTTTTAAGCTCCTCTTGCTTCTTCTTCTGTAGCTTTTCTTTTTCTTTTATTTTTTCTGCTATTTTCTTTTTTTCTGACACTTTTGGTTCTGTAAAACATCAAACAATACAGCACTCTTGATCTACTGATTATTTCTTTTCAGCAACTACAAAACCACTCAGCAAGGGGAAAGCCGCAGAGCTCAGCTACTGGAGCCCGCACGCAGAGGGAGCTCAGTCAGGCGCTGTCGAAAACGAAGCCGACCCTACCGGGACAGGGGGCTGGCGCCGCCAGATCCACTCGAGACGGAACCAGCCACGCGCTCCTTTTAAGCCTTACCTTGTTTTACCTCCGTCTCCTTTACTTCCTCCTCTTCCTCCTCATCATCCCAGTTATCCTACAAAATAAGCTTTAATTAAGATTCTTTTACAGATACTTTCTACTTGTTCAGGCAACAAATACAAAGAACGGCGGCTTAACAGAGCTTAACGTCTCTAAATGCTGGCACTGCCACTAACCTTGCCCCCCGGAGCGGGGAAGCGGGGAGGAAGCTCGTCAGAGCCGTACAACAAGCGCACGGCTTTCGGGAGCCGATCAACACGTTTCAGGACCAGCTCTTACCACGAAAAAGGCAGCTTTTATTCAAAGAATCGGAAAGCTCACGTCGATGTAGTTAAAAAAGCAAGATCATGAACAGTCAAATCGACGCCCACAGTAAAACACGAGTTTATCGCCGTTCCTTTCACCGCACACTGCAAGATACCGGGATGCCGCCGGGTGCCTGCCG